AGGGTGTAATATAACACCCTGTGTTACCATTTACTATTCTGTATTGCAGTTGTTCATGAGATGTATTTCTCATGAGACTGTGAGCACTATGAAGGCAGGGACTGTCTTATTCTTTTATGCATCCCCAGAACCAAGCATGGAGCTGGGCAGAGCAAAAGACCTCAGCAAACATTCATTGAATCGGTGAGGGTTTCCTCATTTTAATTTCTCAGTGGCACTGCAAGGTGGCAAAAGTTGAGGAGTATTCCTGTTTTACTGCCATGACTTCCTTATCTTAGATAAAAAGAAATAAACAAACAATTATGGCAAAGAGTAATGACATGACCCAAGGTCTTATAGCCAGGAAGATGATTCAGTTGAATCAATAGAAGTTCAGTTTCCCAAAGTAAGTTAAAAGCACAGATCTTAGGGACAAGGTTGGGGAGACAAGTGGGGAGAAAAAAACCCCACTATGAATGGACATGGTTGTTTGGCAGAAAATGAGGTTACCCATTCTATTCTGTGTTTACTGGGGGAATGCAAATGACCTTCTCTCCACTGCCAAGAAACTAAAAACAGCATAAGCGATGGAAGATGGTCTGATAGAATCTGTTAAGAAAGAGAGTGGACACAGTGCAAGTGCTTTGTGCAAATAGGAAAGGTGGATCTAATGGAGATTCTCAAAATGACAGTGGGAGAGTGAGAGTTTGCCAGTAATTCTCAAGTGACTCTTCAGAGCAGAGAGAGACAGCTATTATCAGAAAGAGAGGCTGTGCCTACAGGCCCAAGTGTTAGGGTCAATTGGATAATTCATTGGAGTTAAAAACCTCAGCTAAGATAAAACATCCCTCAAGGACATCTGACTTTATGTGCTCCGATTTCGTGCTTAACACGCCCCTTCTGTTCACTGATTTGGCTTCTTACATATTTTTTTTATTAGAAAAATATTCTCTTGATAATAGATAGGGGTATTCCAGTCACTAGAAAGAAACCTTCCTCCTTGTAAATTCATGGGTATTGCAGCTTGTAAGCCAATTTCTTTTAAATTCGATTAGTTGGGACAAATGGATTCTTTCTTTGAGTTTTGATGGTCTTAGTTTTTTTAAAATCACACAAATAATTCATATATACTTTTTCGTGTAAGAGAGTCAAACAGTTGAAATAAGTATAGATGGAAACCCCTTTCACCACCGGGCCCCCATCCAACTCCCAATCACAGAGATAATCATTGTTATGCATCCAATATATAGCATTCAGTCCTTTTTCTACGCATTTATATAGAGAGGTGGGTGTGTTTATATATTTATAAATGTCCCTTTCGATTTTTATACAAATTAGATCAGACTCAACATTTCCCTTTTTCATATAACTCTATCCCATGAAAATCCTTCTACGTTGGTCCACAAAGCTCTGCCTTCTTATTTCTTATGGTTGCGTGCTTTTTCTATAGGATATATTAATCAGAATTCTCCAGAGAAACAGAACCAATAGTATGTATGAGTTAGAGACGGGGGAGATTTACTATAAGGAAGTAGTGCACATGATAGTGGAGGCTAGAAAGTCTCAAGATCTTCAGGGTGACTTAAGCAAGCTGGACACCCACGAGAGCAAGTGGTTTAGTCCCAGTCTGAAGGCCTGCAGGCTTGAGACCGAAGAAGAGCTGATATTTCAGTGTGAGTCTGGAGGCAGGGAAAAACCTATGGCCTAGTTAGAAGGCCATGAGGCAAGAGAAATTCCCTTTCACTATGGGAAAAGTTAGCCTTTTTGTTCTTTTCTTTTTAAGTTAATTTATTTATTTTGAGAGAGAGACAGTGCCAGCAGGGGAGGGGCAGAGACGGGGGAGGCAGGGAGAGAGAGAGATAGAGAGAGAGACAGAGAGAGGGAGAGAGAGGGAGAGGGAGAGAGAATCCCAAGCAGGCTCCACACTGTCAGTGCACAGTCCAACTCGGGGCTCAAACTCATGAAACCACGAGATCATGACCTGAGTCGGCCACTTGGCACCCCCTAGCGTTTTTGTTCTATTCAGGCCTTCAAGTGATGGATGAGGACCACCCACGTTAGAGAAGCCCACTTGCTTTACTCAGTCTACCAATTTAAATGTTAATTGCATTCAAAAACACTCTCACAGAGACACTTTAAATACTGTTTGACCAAATATCTGAGTACCCATGGGCCAGTCAAATTGACACATGAAATTAACCATCACATAGGGTTATATAATTATTCTCCTTTTTATGGATAGTTTTTTTTTTTCCTTTTTACCTTTTTCCATTTTTTTACTATTAAAAACACTACTTCAATACCAATTTTTTGATCATACAGTTTTGGGCACATATGCATATACATATATGTATATTTCTATAGGGTATATTGCCAAAAGTGGAACTTCTTAGAGTGGTAGGTAAAATAATGAATGCCCTTCCCCCCCAAAATGTCTAATCTCCTAATCCCTAGGGCCTGTGAATATGTTAGGTTGCACAGCGAAGGGAAACTAATATTGCAGGTGGAATTAAGATTCTTAGTCAGAAATGGACCTAATATAATCACAAGTGTCCTTAAAAATAGAAGAAGTGAGGGGACCCTGGATGGCTCAGTTGCTTAAGTGTCTGACTCTTGGTTTTGGCTCAGGTCATGATCTCACCATCCTGAGATTGAGCACTGCTTTGGGCTCTGTGCTGTGCATAGAACCTGCTTAAGATTCTCTCCCTCTACCCTTCTCTGCTCCTCCCCGCCCCCGCCCCCATCCGCACGCTATGCAAGAAAGAAAGAAAGAAAGAAAGAAAGAAAGAAAGAAAGAAAGAAAAGAGAGGGAGGGAGGGAGGGAAGATGGAAGGAAGGAAGGAAGGAAGGAAGGAAGGAAGGAAGGAAGGAAGGAAGGAAAAAACAAAGTAGAACACAGAACCAGAGAGATCGTGCTGTAAGAAGGAGTATGCCCAAAGTTCCTGGCTTTGAAGATGGAGGAAGAGGTCCACCAGCCAAAGAATGTGGGTGCTCTCTAGAAGGTAGAAGGAACAAAACAGATTCTCCCCTCACAACTTCACACTCCAGAAAGGAGTATAATACTGCCAATACCTTGATTTTCAGTCAGTGAGACTTATTTCATTGTTCTGAATTACAGAACTGAAAGATAATTTGTGTTGTTTTAAGCAACTAAATTGGTAGTAATTTGAAATAGGAGCCACAGGGGGCGCCTGGGTGGCGCAGTCGGTTAAGCGTCCGACTTCAGCCAGGTCACGATCTCGCGGTCCGTGAGTTCGAGCCCCGCGTCGGGCTCTGGGCTGATGGCTCAGAGCCTGGAGCCTGTTTCCGATTCTGAGTCTCCCTCTCTCTCTGCCCCTCCCCCGTTCATGCTCTGTCTCTCTCTGTCCCAAAAATAAATAAACGTTGAAAAAAAAAAAAAATAGGAGCCACAGAAAACTATCATACTAGGTCCTAGGGAATATGTATTTAAATTTTGATTGATAATAAGAATGGCTTCAAAAAAATTAAATAAAAAAATTTTTAAAGTGTTTCAATTTACAATTTTATTACTAGTGTAAGAGAAAGCCCGTTCCCTAATGCCATCACCATCACTGGAGTTCATCAATCTTTTTCATTTTTAGCAATTTGGTTGGGTGAAAAGTGATTATTGATTTGTTGCTGAGACTGGGAATCTTTTTACATGCTTTCTTCCTTATTTACAAATGGAATATTTATCTTTCCTTATTTTTATACAAGGTTGATGGTATGCTTTCTTATTGAAGTAGAGGTGCTGTTTAGATATTGTGGCTCCTAATCCATTGCCTTTTATATATGTCACAAATATTTCCTCCCAATCCTTCACAACTTCATTAACTAAAATTATGGGATCTTCTGTCATGTAGACAATTTTGTGTCTTGATTAGGAAGAAAAGATGAATATCTTAACTAGAAAAACTATAGGTGCCTGTCTGACTCATGTAATAAAACAGCTTGAGTGACACTCCTTTGAGCATTAGTTTTCTTATTATAGTAATGCATTTATTCATCAAAAAATCATTGACTGTGAACCACCTTATGCCATGGGTAGATGCCAGGGAGACATAAGTAAAGTCAACATTCGAGGACTATGCGATCTACGTGGAGATACAGACAATGAGACCACCATAACAATAATAGAACGTGTGCTGTGATAGAGATTTGTGCAGAATCCCATGGAAATCCATCGGAGGAGCCCCATATCCAGACCAGAAGCTTTCATAGGGCTTGTCCAGGGGAGGTAGCAGAGCAGGAAGGGTACACGGGGCAGACAGAACTGCAGGTACAGAGGCTGGGGACAAGAGCAGGAGCTGTAAACAGTTCACAGAATGGGGGTGATGATGGGGTGAGTTGTGAGTTTGGAGAGGTCAACAGAGACTGTTGCAATCCATATCATTCAATTCAGTCTGTTTTCTGAAAACGCTAAGGAGACTGTTGCAATCCATATCATTCAATTCAGTCTGTTTTCTGAAAACGCTAAGAAGCCTTTGAAGTTTGAAGCAGGTGGATGAGGTATGGACTAGCCTTTAGTAGAGACCATTTGGGCTGGTCTGTGGACAAGGGGCTTAAAGGGACATTGGCCAGAGGCAGGGAGGCCAGTGAGGAAAAAGGCTGTCAAACTAACCTAGCAACAATGGCAAAAGTGAAAATAAAGTAGTGGCAGAGGAATGGACACACTGGACAGATTGAGAAATCCACCCTAATTTGTCGTAAGTCAAAGAAAATATGTAGTGTTTTTTTCCAAGTGGAAGTTCCCTATAAACTAAAACATTCAACTTCCTGATGGAATTATAGGCACCGTGACAGGCCAGTAGAGATGTTTCTGAACACAGAAGACTTTCCAGGGAAAAGTAAAAGTAAAAAATCATGGCATATTCAGACCATATTTGGATTTTGTCCTTCATATTTGGATTTTCTTTATATGACTATGAATGCATAACCCCAACATCAGCCTGTCTGCCCTCCCCTTTATTCCTACCAGCCCCGTATTCTTTGTGTTCTGTATCTTCCTATGTATGTTTTAGGAAACAAGAGGGCTTATTGTCCGTCCTTCCTGACATTTCTCACTGCCACTCTGCACTAGACTCCATTCACGTTCACTACCTGGAAATCCTGGACCAGGGGATAAGGTAAGAGTCTGCCTCCTTGACTAACGAACCAGCAAAGGTATGAATGGGGGAGAAGAAAACTCTCTGATGTTCTTCCACCCCTTTATTCCACATGACACGACTTCTCAAAGTGATATAGGGACTTCACACTTTACTGAAGCATTAAATTGGCCAAAATTATAATATAGAAGAGCAAATTATTAAAACGGTAGACAAACATTTTTACCTTACTCTAAGGGACAAATGCTTCCCTCTGCTTCACCCTCATCCCCAGCTCTGCTTTTGTTTCCTGTTCTCAAGCAAGTGACCAAATAACGTGGGGGGGAAGGACATGCCCTTTGCCAGGAGCAAAGCTTTCCTTATTACAGTATTATTCTCTCAGCTCTCTCTTTCACTCAGAAATGGGAAAAATATTGAACAGCATTTCCCAGACCTACTGCTGGCTAATAGCATCAGCTGCTAATGTTTTATGAAATCCATCCCAGACAATGTGGAACATTAAGCAGAACCCACTGGGTTAGCATTTGCCCCCTTTCCTGCTCTCTCCACATTATTTGACCTGTCCTGCTATGTGAAGAGACTGTCTAGGATCCAAAGCTTTGTGTCTGCCCAGCAACAATGATAGGAAATGAATGCCGTCTTGACATTGCTAAATGCCCTTTGGGACTGACATTTGGTGGGCCTTCCAAAGAAAGCTGAGTTTATTGACACGGTGTGTTTGATTATCACTCGCTTTTCTAGGACAAAGGCCCAAAGCAGCCCCTGTTACCATTTGGCTGGCATTAATTCTATTTCGACTCCTCCTGATCAAAAACAGAAGCTGTATCACTGGTGCTCTGGTCTAAAGATGCCCCGTGTCACCCGTGGGACATCTGGCCTCAAGTGGCAACATGTAGAGGGTGAGGAAGGAGACAACTGGAGACACATTCAGAAAGTTGTAATAATAATCATAATAAATTTACATATGCTATCTTATTTGATCCTTAAATGAGATAGGTATTTTTTTTTTCAACGTTTATTTATTTTTGGGACAGAGAGAGACAGAGCATGAACGGGGGAGGGGCAGAGAGAGAGGGAGACACAGAATCGGAAACAGCCTCCAGGCTCTGAGCCATCAGCCCAGAGCCTGATGCGGGGCTCAAACTCACGGACCGCGAGATCGTGACCTGGCTGACGTCGGACGCTTAACCGACTGCGCCACCCAGGCGCCCCGAGATAGGTATTTTTATCCTTGTTTTAAAAAATGAAAAAAACTGAAGCTCAAAGACTTTAGAAATTTGCCCAAAGGCCTATATCTTGGTGGGAGGGGATGTATGGATTTATGTGATTCTAGAGCTACATACTCCAGTATCTTAGGCTGGGACCCACTATGTCCCTCTGCCCTGGCCAAGGGGTGCTATCATCCAAGAAACTCAGTGACCAGGTCCAGGTGAGTTTTGAGTTTTATTTTATTTTATTTTAAATTTATTGTCCCATTAGCTAACATACAGTGTATACAGTGTAGTCTTGGCTTCGGGAGTAGATTCCCGTGATTCATCACTGACATACAACAGCCAGTACTCATCCCAACAAGTGCCCTCCTCTATGCCCATTTCCCATCTCACCCCCCACCCCCAAGCCTTCACCCCCATCAACCCTCAGTTGGTTCTCTGTATTTAAGGGTCTCTTATGGTTTGCCTCCCTCTCTGTTTTTAACTTATTTTTCCTTCCCTTCCCCTATGGTCTTCTGTTAAGTTTCTTAAAGAAGGGGGAGAAATGAGATCTGGCACACAGGAAGGAGTGATGTTCATCTTGGGGCTGGGGGAGAGGGCTCTATTAAGTCCTGGGCAGTAAACTCGTGTGATTGGGAGATGGCCTTAGCACTACAGATCCTACCAAACGGGAGCTCCATCGACCATTGTCCTTAGGGAACTTTTATGTTTAACCTGCGATCAGTTTAGCATTATGGACCCTTATCCTCGGGGTCTGTACATGGTCACAGCCTCCAGTAGAGTCGCCTCCAGTTCCACGAGGAACTGGGAGCTAGGGAAAGACAGGACTGAAATGGGCTGGATGATGGAAACCTGGCCCTTTCTCTTAAAGCTTGAAAGGGTAGCCAGTGTCACCAGCAGGAGCATCAGCTGGGCACCATGCAGCTATTTGCAGCTTGACAGCCTCTGCTGAATTATTGATACCCCTCAGTACCTCGGGACCTCCCCCTTGTTAACAAATCGCGCTCCATATTAAAATTTAAAGAGGCAAATGAGTGCAATCTCTCGCCCTATTATTGCCCCCCTTCTTTTGCCATCTGAGCTCTAATTTTTAAGTCAATCAGCCTGAAAGGTGTCTCTTGGGAGGTGGCACAGCTCAGACAGCCAAACCCAGGACAGGAAAACCAAAGGCCACGAGTAACACCATGACCTGAGCCCTGAGTCAATTAATGGAGTCTGAGTGACTCTGGGCCAGGTGAGTACTGACTCTCTCTGAGTCACTGAAATGAATAAGAAATCTGTTCACCTCCTTCCTGGGACAGCAGCCCCTGTCCAGTTTGTCACATCCCTAAAACTTCCCTAAAGCACAGTATGAAAACTTTTAAGTTGTGGTCCAAATTTGGATTTGGGATGCTCTGTTTGGTCTGCAGAGTCATGGTTTTTTTTAATGAAAAGAGTTTCCAAAAATTTTAAAAATAGGAGGTTTTACACAAATATCAGATTTTCTGACTTTTCTTGAGAGATCAAAGGACTTGGGTGTTCATTTGCACATTGTACCACTTCCAAGGGCTGACAGGGGCTGCTCCTTTATTTTTTATTTTTTTAATGTTTATTTATTTATTTAGAGAGAAAAGAGGGGCAGAGAGAGGGAGAGGGAGAATCCCAAGCAAGCTCTGCACAGAGCCCGGTGCAGGGCTCGATCTCATGAACCACAAGATCATATATGACCTGAGTCAAAATCAAGAGTAGGACACTTAACCAGCTGAGTCATCCAGGTGCCCCCATGTAGCTGCTCTTTTAAATGAGGTAAGACTTCTTTTCTTTGCCACAGTCTCTACCCTTCCCATTAGTGACTGAATCTGTGACCCTTGGGCTCGAGAAAGATGGCAAGCGTTTCTGTGTGCCAGCTCAAGTCTGTTAGCAGGACTGCCTGGGGTCCCATAATTGATCTGATCAGTTATGACAGATTGCATTGCACTTTGCAATTGTTCACCTACCCTTCCCTGTAAGAGGATTGTACATCTCTGACTGTTGCCATGTGACTATGTGCAGATTCTTGAAACAGACACTCTGAGAGGCATTGTGGGTTATCACCGGCTGTCTGGCTCTTTTCCTCTGCCATGGGCATAACGTACCCTGTGATCCTTCAGCCTGAATCCCCGTAGGACAAGGACACATGGTGCAGACCAGCAGCTGGCTTACAGGTTGGAGCTGAGCCACACCCGTGACAGAGCAGCAGCCGACCCACAACCTTCAGTAATATGAGTAAGTCAGCTGTAAGCACCTGAGAATTGGGGGATTATTTGTCACTGTAGTAGAACTGACCAATACAGCAAGGCCAGGATTGCTAGAACAAGGTACTGTGATGAAAAAGCAAGATTGTCTTATTTTTGGAGAAGAGAAACATGATGGCCTTAGGGAATTCTTTTTTTTTTTTTTTTTTAATTTTTTTTTTCAACGTTTTTTTTATTTATTTTTGGGACAGAGAGAGACAGAGCATGAACGGGGGAGGGGCAGAGAGAGAGGGAGACACAGAATTGGAAACAGGCTCCAGGCTCTGAGCCATCAGCCCAGAGCCCGACGCAGGGCTCGAACTCACGGACCGCGAGATCGTGACCTGGCTGAAGTCGGACACCCAACCGACTGCGCCACCCAGGCGCCCCAGGGAATTCTTAAACAACATTAATTTTGGTTGTTTTTAATTTAAAAAATAACTTAAGAGGATTCTGGAAAGATAATGGCAGTGGCCTCAGAAGAACCGGGTTGAGTTCCCAAGTGCATATTTAATGAATAATTTTCCTTTTATCAAAAACTTATCTTTTAAAAAATCATATGTGTACTGAAGCTTACTTTCAGTTAATTTCACTTTGTATTAGTAAAGACGACATTGCAAAATACTTGTCATGTAAAGGGTGTCTGGCGTCTGAAAGAGTCTTCACCACTGCTTATTATGAGGATCAAAGGGGCTGAACTATTTGAAAACGCTTTGTCAGTACTACATGAGTACAAATGCTAGTTTTTACTAGGTTTGTGGTGATATGGCATCGTTTTCTCGTTTTCTCCAGTAGGAGGCAGGTCAGGCGTTACTGTCCCCATTTGACAGATGTACAGACTGAGTCAGTAAGCAGGGACTTGTCAGCTAGTTAAGGAGAGAACTGAGGGAGAGTCAATTTATCATTCAGACTAGGGCACCAGCAATCTGTCTGTTGCCTTACACACAAAGGGGCCAACCAGGGACTTTTGAATAATCTTGCTAATACCCAGATTTCTAGTTTAATGGTGTCAGTTATAATGAGATTTGGCCTGTGTTGGTTTCTTAATAGTAGCCAAAACCTAATTAATTATCTACTTCCGTATATATCTACCTTCTGCCTCCTTTGGCCCACGGCATTGCTTCTAATTTACATTTTCAGTTCATAGTGTCAATATTCACCAGCCCCTTTCCATCCTTGATTAACCTGGTCATTCTCTGAGCCATCTGGTGGTAGGCATGGTAGTTTTCTTATTTAAGAATTAGCATATGGGGCGCCCGTGTGGCTCAGTTGAGCGTCCAACTCTTGATTTTGGCTTAGGTCATGATGCCAGGATCATGGGATCAAGCCTCTCTCTTAAATAAATAAATAAATAAATAGCACATGCGTCGTATTAGTTTGAAACATCCATAGCCTGCAAAGTCAAATTCCAAGAGTTGCAGTTTGGTATCATTCAGTAACTTTGGACTGTGTTGTCGGTTACAACTCTAGGTCATTCTTTTGGACATGAAGGGCATTTTGTTACCTGGAAGGTATCTGTGTCCCATGGATGGCCAGAACACTCAAGGATAGGGACTGA